GTGTGTGTATGTGTGAATTGTACCAACTGCCATATTGAAATATAATGACTGGACATAGAAAGTCATGGACACGAGTCAATGTTATATTTTTGTGAGTTTTATTTTTTACTTGGAGATGACATCTCATGTTTGATGGTAGTTGACTCATTGAGTCATGTAATTATTCCATTATTTTGACGTTTGTAAAAAATAAATTATTTTACAACCGATGGTAATTAGGATAAACGAATATAGGTACTGCAGTTAATTTATATTCTTTCCAATGAAAGGATGTTGTATAACAACAATAGACTAGCAAGTGGCCACTGCTCACCAGATGAATTTAAGGAGACACATCAAGGTGGTATAATATACTTATCTAAATTAGGAGCTATGTCTTTCAGTAATGTAACTCATAATCCAAGTTTCGTGTCTACATATACAACTGTTGGCTGGTCAAAGACCTCTTCTCACACAGAGTAGGTCTAAGCATTAAACTTGCTCAATGCGGGTTAGTAATTTAAAACTTATAATAAGAAATTATAAACCCAGGTGTCCTCACAATGTTTTCCATCACCGTTTGTCAGTGGTGTCTAAATAATCTTAAAAAGTACATATAACTCGGAATAATTCACAGCCGTTGGTAGGTTTCGAACCCGCATGTATCAAAAGCAGGCGTCTTAAACTGTCAAACACCAAGCGGTCACCGGTGACCGCAACCTGTTGTTCTATAATTGTGTCTACAAAACCGGTACTCGACGAGTTAAACCTCAGGGCCACCACGACTCTGATGATGTATAAGATATACAGAAATTATCACATATCTATAATTTTCATTTATTTATTTGTAATAATTTCTGGTAACTGTAATTTAGACACTAAAATTTTAAGGATTTAATAATCATAAAATTAATTACTCCTCATTATTCTTAGTTCTGGTTGAATTGAAGTATAAAGTAATAAAAAATATTAAATTTTAATTTAACAATAATTGAAAACATTAATTGGCCACATACAGATTGCCAGCTCATCAAGTTACACCTATAATGGTAAATAGATTTTCATCTTTATTATTAGTGGAGTAGGCACTAAAATCTATTGACGAAATGTGTCAATTTAAATGTAGTTTGACGTGCTGTCCTTCTATTGATAACCTTGATTGTTGATGGCAACAATTTAATATTTCGTAAGAGGGAATGGTAAATATTTTTATTAATATTTGATTAGTACCAATTAATCCTATGCCATAAACTAAACGGCGTTTAACCGATAACCCACTATCAAAAACTGAGTTCCGTGTAAACTAGTTTCTGTTTGTAGCGGTGAAATGTAAAATGAAGCTGTAACTTCGTTTAAACGCTTTAAATTCGATTAGACGCTTTAAATCAGCTTTAGGTGTAATCGTGATCAGTTTCGTTGGTGAAAAGGGACCTAAGTGAACAGAAAAATCATTAATTTTCAACGCTTTTATATAATTTCAATTGAATATTTATGGTCATACAATCTACTTAAACGTGTATACAAAATGTCATCTCAATCGGATGACGATATGTGCTCCAAAACTCAGTGGCAGGATTCCACTTCATTCACTCACATACACACACACACTTGTAATGTTATTAACTCGTCGAGTACCAGTTTTGTAGACACAATTATAGAACAATAGGTTGCGGTCACCGGTGACCGCTTGGTGTTTGACAGTTTAAAACTAACGTAATTTTGTCAAAATGTACGTCAAGAACGTACTTACATTTAGTTTTCTATTCTCAGTCGACAACCATTTAAAATAAAGGTCATTTCGTTCCTAGAACCGATGAACTTTATAGCTCACGATAGTAATAATTTGACTCATGTCACTGATAGATTTGTTCAATTATATGGTTTTTTTAAGGGGGGAAGATCATCGAATATCTGCTTCCGCCTGGATAAGGCGGGAGGGAGTGTGAGAATCTTACTGACTAAAAACCATCCCGTTCCTATTCCTGCCCTTCGAGCCGGAGCCCCGGCAACCCGTTAAGTCCTCCGCGGCTCCGTATCGGCTCAATAATATGGCATTTTTTTTTAATTGGGGGGAAAATCATCGAATTACTGCTCCCGTCTGGGTGAGGCGGGAAGGAGTGTCAGACTCTTACTGACTAAAAACCACCCCGTTCCTTCTCCTGCACGTCGAGCCGGAGCCCCGGTTACCCGTTAGGTTCTCCGCGACAATAATATGGTATACAGATCAACTCATAAAACAAACCCAAAATTTTACAATCAAAAAGAATGAATGACATGGAATGCGAACGTAATGAGTAAGCGCAGACTTACACAGGTACACACGGCTACACATCGAGCTTTACATAACCAGTATAAACTGAACGTTAAATGTGCGGAAAGATGATGCGACGCAAGACCAGGGTAAACTGGTTTTGTATAGATTGATGTGTGGCCGTGTGTACAATACGGGGATGCCCCCAGTTTACACAAATTCCAGCGTTTAAGAACGATCACGCGACACGAGTTGTACCTAGTGCAAGTTTGTTTTACTTTGACGCGATCGACACGTTTATGATGTTCGGTACTCTAATTGGCCCGCTCTAAGTTAACCTACCAATCAGTGGACTAAACGCGGCGCGGTGACTTCTCGATTGCGTTAACGTAACTAACTTGCACTTAAAACTCAAGACTGATTTGAATGAAACTTGGTACGTACTCAAAACCTAAAAAGTTATATTAGAAGGTATCTATTCACCCTCGGAAAGTTCTTTAACTCAGCAGTTATATGTGATTTTAAGTAGGTATGTATGGAAACTCGTTGTGGAAATGATCTTAAATAAATCACTGAAATGAATAAGTATGACGTGTGAAGTTAAAAACGTATCGAGTTACCGAAAAATTAAAATATTTTTTTTATTTATTTACACTTTTTGCACAATGGGTATACAAATACAATGGCGGACTTAATGCCTAGTGGCATTCTCTAACAGTCAACTCTGGGGGTGATGCAGAGAGACACAATATCGTTGATTTGAAAGTAAGTTTTGCTAAAGTTACAGTTTCTGTGACGTATTAGAATTGTTTTCGCATTATAATAACTGGGATGGTGACCGAGGTACATGTCGATTTCTTTCTCTCTCAAAAAGTCTCTGACTCGGAGACTTTTTGCTGTCAAATATTATTTTAGATAAAATAAGTAGGTACCTACAGATCTACATTAATTTCCGGATCCGCGAACAATTTAGCGGGGTACTGGGGCTCCGGTTTTAACCAGGAGTAGGAACGGGGTGGTTTTTAGTCAGTAAGAGTCTGACACTCCCTCTCGCCGAAGGTCGTAGAAGTCATTGAAAGATTTTCCCGTATCGAAAAAGAAGATTTCCATTCATTTAAATTCTTTTATCTCTATTTTTTACATCTATAATCTTCTGTGTCACATACATGAGGTAATTACCTAATTAACAAAAAGTAGGTTACAAAAATAATGGTATAATATTATTGTATCATTATATTTAATATATTATGTCATTATTTTTGTAACTTCATATACATAATTCTAATAATTATTAGGTTGGGTTAATTCGTCAACCACAATTCCAAACGCAGTGATTTCTTATAAATTCGAAAATGTTACAATAAAGGACAAAACTGCACAAGGTAATATTTAGCTTTTATACATGGCATAAGGTTGATAATTAAATAGTACCTATAATGTTACAGTTGATCACAACTATATTATTACATAAAATAAACATTAAATTCATCATCGTTTATTATATATATAGCTTTTGCACGCTACTTCGTACGCGCAATCCCGTTTTCTCCCGTGACCATAAGATTTTCAGCATTTTTTTTTCTATCATAAGAACCTTCTCTTGACAATAACAAATACAACACAAAAAAAAATCAGCCAAATCGATCTAACCATTCTTAAGTTAGGTATGGCGTGACAACGGGCAACGGGTTTCATTTTTATATACTCGTATATTCCGTTACTAAATGACTTACTGACTGACTGACAGACGATCTACAGCCGAAACTACAGGACCTAGGAAGCTGAAACTTGGCATCTATGTACCGTGGGGAGTTTAAAAGAGCACTATTAGAAGATTTTCCAAAATTCCCACGAGAATGGGAATCACCCATTTGTGCATATACAGTGGCGGGAATAAACTAGTCTTTATATATTATATGTAACATGTATGTGTACATGATTGTAACATTTTATATCACCCATTAGGTTTATGTCGGCGATAAAAGCTTTAAGACCCTAATTTTATTGTCATTTTGGAGTTAATGAATTTTAGGACACACGTCAAGGTGGTATCATATACTTATCTAATTTAGTATCTATGTCCTTCAGTAATGTAACTTATTGTCCAAGTGTGTCTACATCATCAACTATAGGCTGGTCAAAGACCTCTTTTCGCATGGAGAAAGAATGATCACCAATCACCTTCGTTGCTCAAGGCGGGCTGGTGATTTCGGACTCACATAACTTGCTTTGAATTCTAAAAATGTTTTCTTTCATCATTATGTCATGGATCTATATTATAAACTTGGAAAATTTAGTCATTTAAATTTTGCTTTAACTGAAGAAACAATAAATTATGTAAAATCATATTATGATTATAATACATGTGTGTAGATGACTATGTCTATGTATGTGTATAAGTACATTTTACACCTGTTGCAAAATTGCTATAATTAAAAAAATAGAAAACGACATTGTCAAAACATTTGCCATAGTTCACTTCAGTACCGTAATGACGTCTAAGTACGTCTGTACCTATATATTGCATAATTTTATTGACATAAATAACTAACACGTTTTAAATTACTCAATTAAATTCTATTGTCGTAAAGGGTCTAGTATGGACAAGAATGCATTTTCTACACGCACTGTCAAGGTTCATTTCAAGGCAGAGAAAAAAAATTAGCACAGTACACTCCATTCCAGTCAATGTCTTGTCCGAATTGCACTTTTAAATCATTACTAAAAGTAATTCCTTAACAGTGTCGTAAAGACATTGGCCGCGTGATCATTGTGCATTGAAAAAAAAAAGTAATTTTATTTTAAAATGTTGAGTTCGAACGTGTAATTCGATTGCCAGTGACAGTTCTAAGTTTAAAAAGTGAATAAAAATCGAACAAGTAAAAATGGCGCGTTTTTTGACGTTTACTTATTTGTTTTTTGTGATGATAATTTACGTTAAAACGAGAAGTGTACATAAAAGTGAGTGAATTTTGTTAATTTATTATTAATTAGTTCATAGTATGGTATTAATTATAGGGTTTCATTATTACTTGGGAGGTTGTGAATCAACTGATTAGCATTCAATTAAATTAGCATTATTTTACCAAGTACTATACCTACGAGTACGCAATTTAACGACCGCTTAACCTCAAAGCTATTATAATAACATTGTTGCGGTTAGACAGAATGTGATCTGAATTTTAGTTGACTAATGGTCACTCATAGTTATCATAAAATGTACCTATAGAAATCCACATTTTTTGCACACGAAGACATAATAATATGTTTTATAAATAGGAAATAAATGTATGTATAATTATTAATTACTGAGTACAGTAATGATGTTTTAACTATCGGAAAGTTAATTGGTTGAAAGGGTTTTATCAGTTAATATTGATATTTGTTATCCGCCTTGAGCAAGCGTAGTGATTGATTCTGGCTTTTAATTCTTATTCCTTCTCCGTATATTAGAAACCTTTGTGCAGATGTGTGTAAAATAAGTGAAATATATTTATATCAGTTAGATAATGAAATAGAAAGTATTTAAGTAGGGACCCAAATGATTAAATAGATATAAACAAATACGTTAAAGGTACTTTATCACTATACTAACAGCAATGTTTTGTTGTATATAATTATCTTATTATATAGGTATTTTTAGTATTAGTATTTGTTATTATTGTCGGCACAGCGACTGACTCGTTTTCCGAGGGGTCTCGAATTCCTAGGCCGGACAAAGAATAACAGAGTTTAAAAAAAATTGTCAGCAGTAGTCTGAAAATTGTGCCTGGTATACTGGTACATGGCAATAGGCTCACGCCCTATTATATGGGACTCATAATATAAATAGTGAAAAGTGAGTGTTACATTGTACAGTGTACCTCTCCCTACTACTTCGGGGATAAAAGGCGTGACGTAATGTTATGGGCACAGCGATTTATATGATACAGCTAGGTTTATAGATGGACAGACGGCCATCAAAATGATAGAAACAAGTTCCCGTTTTTACCTTTTGGTTACGGTACCCTAAGATAGTATAAGTAAGATAGTGTAAGTCATTTGTACACCTTTCATTTGTCAAATAAAATAATTATTCGGTGTGTGTACTGTACCTATATTTTATTCATTAAATGCAAATAGTCACGTGTTCATTAATATTGCCAATGTTCTTATATTCTATTGCCTCGTGGATTACATGTCCATGATCCTAAGTCACCCAAGCAAAGGGCGGTTGCCACCTATCTAGAATTCTACTTCTAAGTCAGGAGAACTGAATGCGTTACCGGGGCTCCGGCTCGAAGTGCAGGAGTAGGAGGAGGTGGTTTTTAGTCAGTAAGAGTCTGACACTCCCTCCCGCCTCATCCAGGTGGGAGAAGTCGTTCGATGATTAACCCCCTTGAAAAAGTTAGAGAATCATTGGATTTTTTAAAGACCGCCACAACTCTCTAAAATTGCTGCAACTCCTACTGTAAATTAGGATCATACTGTAAATCATCATCTTCATATCACACACAGTACATTCTCCGGCCACAGTAAGTACAGGTCAGCGGACTGCGAGCAAGAATGGCTCGCCGCCTGACCAGAATCAGACCCGAGCATAGGGCGCATCGCGTTCTGCGCGCAACTGAAAGAGCCATCAGACCATCACAAATAGGGCCCAGTAACACTGATACCCGATATGTAATCTCTGATTTGAAGAGCAGGAGTAGAAACGAGGTGATTTTTAGTCAGTAAGACTCTGACACTCCCTCTTACCTCATCCAAGGCGCGAGAGGCCATTAGATGTTATTCCCCCCTTAAACTGTCAAACACCAAGCGGTCACCGGTGACCGCAACCTATTGTTCTATAATTGTGTCTATAATGACGATACTCGACGAGTTAAAAAAGCCAGAAGACGTCCACTATAGTTACAGCCATGAGAACACAGAGACATTGAATATCTGGCTTGGATCCAGCAATGAAATGAATACGAAATTGCACACGAATATGATGATAATAATATAACTTTCTTCATCAGTCATTGACTTATTACGCAAATAATAACAGTTAAAGATAATGTTTTGAGAGAACCGTGTTAATATTATTATTATTTCATTGTAATTAGTCTGCTGGAGCCGCAGTCTGTGTTCCCAGCATTGAATCAGTATCAACACAACTGAAAAGTAAGGTAGGTACTGAAGAGTGTACTCATATGAAATTACATTAATAACAATAAATGAAAGCAGTTATGTTTTGTCTGCTGTGCCATGGGTTACAAAGTAAAGTATGTACATTTATCATCACTCTTCCAGCGGGTATTTAAGACCAGACTTAGGATGACACATTTTTAAAGACAAAGTCAACCATTCATAACCAGTCTAACCATAGAATCGAACAGGTGGCGTGGTAACCAGTTGATAAGTGTCAATATAGACATGCACCTCTGCCTACCCATTTATAGATTAAATCACTGTTATGATATAATTTTCTATGTCAGAAAGAGTACACCGTTTCATAATGCCCATTCTTCATCAATTAAGGTTTCAATTTCATTAAAACAAGGGGAGGTCCTATTACCAAAGCACTTCAGGATCGAATTCCATTAGCTACTAGGAATTTCTGTACTGAAAATCCCTCTAACACCCAGATCGACCACAAGTCCACTTTAATACGTCTTCCAGTCCACGTCACAGACAGGAAATTACCTGTCTGGAATCGAACTTTGTGCCTCAATACGCCATGCGATGTGTAACTAGGAGGTCAAGGGAAATAACAAGACGAGTGGGTCAGGCCAATTGACTGACGAATTCAGTGGCACACATACATACTATTGCAAGACGCATACAACACAAACAAAGCTATACGTTTTTTTAAGTTAAACAAAGGAGACCAGACTCCTTTGTTTTTCTTATATTTAGGTGTTCCCGTGAATTGTATATTGTCACATGAATTCTGGCAAAATCTACGGGAAAATAACCTTCATGTTTAATACTAGTTGACCCGATAAACTTCGTACCGCCTAAGAATTTTTTTACATAACATAATATCACGCCTTTTATCCCCGAAGGGACAGAGGTGTACATTCTGTACATTATGCCACTATACAATGTAACACCCACTTTTCACTATTTATGTTATGAATCCCATGTAATAGGGGGAGACCCTATTGCCATATAATGGGCACAATTCCAAATTCCGTGCTACTACTGAGAATGTTTTAAAAACCCAGTATTACTTTACCAGACTCAGAAACCCCTTGCCTGACAGTCGCATTTGCAAACACTTGGCCAACATTTTGTGTCACCTTTTAAACCATCTCGGGACTTCCACGTCCATTGCAAGACCAAAATTAGCCAAATTGGTTCAGCCAACCCGCATTGACCAAGCGTGGTGATTAACCCGTGGAATGCCGGAACGTAGATCTACGCGAGACACAATGTGTTTTCCATTGTGTCTCTTAGACCGGCACTCAAGAGGTTAATGCTCAAACCTTCTCCATGTGAGAAGAGGGTTTGCTCAGCAGTGGGCATTTATAGGCTGTTGATGATGATGATGATGTTCTCAAGTTTTAGCGAGAGTAGTGAATAGAAATTCATTTTTATTTAGGTGTATGGATTTATAGTTACATCTTCATTTATAATACTTGTAACACTATTCGTAAATCTGTAAAAATATAGTAAGTATAATACTATAAAGATTCTTATTTAATACACAGAAAATCGCTAGCTATGGACCATCTCCAACAGCTTCATACCTACCATGGTCAAAGCCGACAAGCATTTCTTTTATTCTTTTTTTTTCTTACATTCGTTTTGTTTCCCTTACATTCGTACAAGTACATAAAAACTCATGCCAGTAATGAGTTCACCATCTTTTTAATGCAAATTTTCTTTATGAAGAAGCGTTTAAACAAACTCAGTTGTCACTCTGAATTCAGACATTGATTGACACAAAATGAGGATACCATGGTAATCTAATTCGCAAAAGTTTCTGTTAAGAAAACAGAGCCAATCAAGTTTTGAATGGATGACATCTTAATGATTGGCACACGTGTCTATGTTCTTTAAGACGAATTAGGATAGGTACAATTGCCAATATTAATTTAAAATAGAAGGTGCCTCCTTCTTTTTTGTTATATCACTTAAATTGTCTTACTGAGTTTACGGTTTATAACGCACACGATATTTTCTCATCAATTCATGTTTATTTTGGCTCATTTTTGGAAAATTGTCATGTACATGCCATACGTCTGGAACAGATGAAGACTTCAATATCAAATTATGAAATTAAAAAGCGAAATCAGTGTAGCCGTTTTCTAATTTTACTCAGATTAACAAACTGCAATGTTCCCTCATAATACCTCTATATTGCTTTGTTTAGATTAGTTACATTTATTATAATCCTGCTTGTAATCTTCTATTGTATGCAACTTACCGAAATACATAGTCCTAGCGTGATAATTGTGAACTAATACGTTATAATCATTTAATAGTACGTAAGTGACCCAATAGATGTCGCTACATGTACTTTATACAGAATTTCGATGATCTGGCTGATGTAATAATAAACACGTGTTGTTGAGTTCTTGAACGAACGAGTCTAGGTGATTGTAGTGTAGGGCGCCCTCCTGCTAGGTGGACTAACGATATCCACAAGGTGACTGGCTATGGTTGGATGCAAAGGGATGAAGATTAAGTTCAGTGGTATATAGAGGCCTTTGTCCTTGTCTATTCATGGACATGTGGGAACAGGCTAATGTGATTGTAGATATACTTGACTAATATGACTCATACGGAGAATTCAGATCCCTAGATGAAAGGCATTTAAACGCATTTCACTGTTTATGGGAAAATTTGTATTTGTGTTTAATAACTTGAAAGGCTAATAACTATTCTCTTATGCATGATGTGCTAGCCTTTTATAGTATACACTGGCAAATGTATATTGTAAAAGGATTCATTGAATGTAATGTGTAAATAGTCGTTGGCTGACTTTGAAT